GTCTAGGTTTTCCATTTATTTTGTCCAAGATTGTAGCCTCATCGATGCCTTTTTCAGCCTTTTTGGTGTTTTGACAGGACAAAAAAGATTCCGACAAGGGGAACTTCCTGAAAATTATAAAATGTTACTCAATAAAACAACACCGAGATACTCTCGTGGATATAAAATTAATTAAAAATACAATCACTTGTAGAAAAACAAAAATCGAATACCTTTCGGGTGGCCACAGAATGGATGACTTGTAAGCTCTAAATCGCTTTCCCCGCTAACTTACTCCCATTCGGAGTAGAAAAAAATGTATATGTAAGTTTTTGGTGAAAATTTACATCGTTCTTTTGGGTCTAGGAGGATTTTAGCTTGAGTGCAGACTAGGAGAATCTTTGACCGTAAACAATCTACCACGACGAACAAAATATTAACCAGAAAAAATAATATGCTACAAAGTTAGAACTTACCGCTGTTTGCAGACACTTCAACCGACACATCCATACTATCGGCGAGACGTTTTTCGAAAATGGAGCTGTAGAAACTCGTAAAATGTGACTAGGGGTAAAATTGCTCTAAAATCAGGGTTATTTTGCTAGTATTGGCTAGGCGTTCTCTCGCCCGCTCTTTCCCAGACTTTGCGCGGACAACGAGGCAAGAGAGAACGCCTAGGGACTAGGCTGACTTGATGTAAAATTTGTTTCACTCTTGGACGGTCAAATTCTGATTTTTCTCTAAAATCACTCAGCCTTTGCCTGAAAAGTCAAATGAATGTGCCCTGATCTGTGGATTAAAAGTTTATTGTTTGATTTAAATTATGAATTTATTAACGGGAGCTTCGCTTTTAGCCCTGGCTAAATCTATATATTAATTGTTCAATGTGAAGTGCGAAACAAAATATCAGTCACGTAGGAAAAGCTGTGTTGCGCAAGATTCCTGGTCATGTCCTTGAGGAACATACTCGAAACTTTTATACGTTTTTTTGCTTCCTCTTTCAACAGAAAATACGTCCACACGGTCGCTTGTACGGTCGTCTTTGTAGGACCCGCAGGTTTTGTGTTTAACGCTTATCCTGGGCGGAAATGCTACTTGTCCTCTTTCCAGCTGTTCCAACAAAAACGATGGTCACGCGGTCGCTTTAACTGTATTTCTACCCTTGCTTGTAAAGGAACCGTTTGTGTAGAGGTTTTAACCAGTTTCTAAGGAAGGTTCTTCGTCGAAGTAGGACAATTTATCAACTCAAAGTCCCACTATATCGTCCCTCCACTTTGGCCGCCATTTTTTTCATTTGTTGACACCGCCTCGTCTTGGTGCGCTGAATCGTGAAAGCGAGTCTTCTGGAAGTCAACAAGTTTACCGGAAACTGTTTCCGCATGGTCCGCATAGTTCTAAAAATAACTTTTTTTGAAATTAAGATATCCCGGCAAACCTTAGACTCCCTCTCTGTCCTCGGATCTCTTGATTCAACGAAAAACAACGAAGTCCAAAAAACACCGGGCTTATACCCAGCCATCTTTACCTCACGCATGGACAATAACGTATATGATAAATTGTGATAGTATTCAGACTGCCACATAAAGGAATGGTACAAGACAAGCTGGAGAGTTAGAGATAACAAGTTACCAAATTTTGATTGTATTTGTGGTACTGACTAGTTTATTTCGTCCAGGAACAGGTAGGACACGTTCCATTCAGCCAACCCCCAAATCCGCCTACGCTGGCCCTATGTGCCATAACAAAATATTCATGTAAAAGTTTGAAAAAAAGAGGGGTTGAAAAGAAGGAATGACTCATTTAAACTTGCTTAATTTAGTTAAAACGCAGCAAAATACGTTTTTCTTGGAAGCAGGCTAATCTTTCAGTAGTATCTACCTGCTGGCTGGCAAAGTATTTTCATCTCACATTGCTGGAACAAAGCAATGACAGAAAATTATTTGTAGCTGGGATTATGGTCCTCAGTGTATTTGCTTGCTGGCAAAAGGGATCCTTTGGACTTATACCCTTGCTGGCTCTGAGGAGCGGCTATTTTTTTTTTTCCACGAAAGTTGATTATCTATCCGCCCTGTTGATTATTAACCGTAAAGCGCTTAAAAAATGTCAGTTTGTTGTTTGGACACAAAATAAACCATTTTCGGAAAATTGTTCGTTGAGCACTCCCGATTGTCTTCGATAAATTGTGGTCAATTCACCTCAAGGCTTACCCTTACATGATAGTCGGAAATTAAGAGAAAGTTTATGCAAAATTAGTATAGTGCAATAGGCTTAGTAATTTGGAATTTTCCATGGTAAGGGATGTAGCAATTTTATGGTGTGGAAGCTATGGAGCTAGTATATCCAGCTGGATTTCAGTCCTGCTCAACGCGATGTTAATTAGTATGTGTAATCAACTGGTGACGAGTGAAATTAGGGAATAATTTTGTCCAAATCCTTATAATATCCCGAGCCTTTAGGCGAGGGAAATTATAAGGATTTGGACAAAACGCAGGTGAAATTATTCCCTAATTTTACGAGCATACCATTTGATTACCTATTAATATCATGGGTGACGAATTACGTTAGCAATCTTGGATTTTTGACATGTTTATCCTGGATCATATCGATCGAGAACTCCACTCTCTCAAATGTTTAGACCTTAAATTTGGCNTGCTGGAACAAAGCAATGACAGAAAATTATTTGTAGCTGGGATTATGGTCCTCAGTGTATTTGCTTGCTGGCAAAAGGGATCCTTTGGACTTATACCCTTGCTGGCTCTGAGGAGCGGCTATTTTTTTTTTTCCACGAAAGTTGATTATCTATCCGCCCTGTTGATTATTAACCGTAAAGCGCTTAAAAAATGTCAGTTTGTTGTTTGGACACAAAATAAACCATTTTCGGAAAATTGTTCGTTGAGCACTCCCGATTGTCTTCGATAAATTGTGGTCAATTCACCTCAAGGCTTACCCTTACATGATAGTCGGAAATTAAGAGAAAGTTTATGCAAAATTAGTATAGTGCAATAGGCTTAGTAATTTGGAATTTTCCATGGTAAGGGATGTAGCAATTTTATGGTGTGGAAGCTATGGAGCTAGTATATCCAGCTGGATTTCAGTCCTGCTCAACGCGATGTTAATTAGTATGTGTAATCAACTGGTGACGAGTGAAATTAGGGAATAATTTTGTCCAAATCCTTATAATATCCCGAGCCTTTAGGCGAGGGAAATTATTAGGATTTGGACAAAACGCAGGTGAAATTATTCCCTAATTTTACGAGCATACCATTTGATTACCTATTAATATCATGGGTGACGAATTACGTTAGCAATCTTGGATTTTTGACATGTTTATCCTGGATCATATCGATCGAGAACTCCACTCTCTCAAATGTTTAGACCTTAAATTTGGCTTGTAAAGTTCAGAATTTTTCAGACTTTTGGGCAAAATACCTGTTAGAGTCCTTCTTGATGTTCTCTTGTGTGTTCAGGTTTTCTAAAACGTCTTTTTGTGCCCTGACATCTTCATTCACGGCATTTTAAAACTTCGTCGCCATCTTGACACTGAGACGTAAGAAAGGTTGCCATGGCAATTTTGTAATTTCACATGTGAAATAACAAATAATCGCCGAAATTTCGCTCCAAAATTAAGGAGTAATTCGTCACCTATGATATTATCGGTCTAATTGAATGCCACAATAACTACAGCACTTTTCAGGGTCGGAAAAATTAAAATTATGCACATTGAAATTGAAGACTCAAATTAAGCATCTTCTGTCAATTATGAGTCTCACCAAATTTTTTGGTGTAATTATTTTATAAAGGGTAAACAGGAAAAAAAGAAAATGGTCGGCAGTAAGATTCCTTTTCGATCTAATTTGAATAGCGGAAAGTAATCGAAACACGGAGTAACTCATTCTCATGCTCAGTCCGCCGTGCTCAAGTTTTCTTTTGTTTCAATTGGTGAGATTTCATTGGCTAGTATGTGTAGACATGGACAAAGATGTATAAATTGATTCGTAAACGTAACAAGAATTTCATTTTTCTGAAAATGTCGAGTTAATTTTTGCCTACCAAGGAAATATAAACATTAAATACGTTACTGATGCGACTCAGAAGAAAAATGAAAGGAACAAGGTCAATATAAAAAAACACTGTTAAACGCATTTAGTTGATTATATTTTATATTCCTGGACTTTATTATTTAAATGACACCGAACGGATGAAAAACCATGCAGTGTATTCGTTTACTTGATTTTACTTAATTTTTAAAATCCCGTTTTAAAAGTCCAGTTGATCTCATGGAAGGAGCCTACTGCTGAGCTCGTGGTACTTCTTCGATGAAGATACGATTCACTGCATTATGCCAACCGGTGAAGGCGTTCCCGAGCTTATATCCACCGCGTTTACATTTTCCAACCCAGAATCCCACTCGAACCTTTCCTTTTTGAATGTTGGTACAGTGACCTTCAATATGACGATGATTGTAGAAATTGTGGTTAACATTGCTTGGTGTTCCAATATAGAATACGCCATCAATGGACCCAGGAGAGCTGCACTCGGCGCCATTGAAGGTGAAATACCAGCGACTACAGCAGCCGGTACAGTCATATATCTTGAGGTTGCCAGCAAAGTAGACATGGAGTGCAGAGTTTGTGTTCTTTTTCACGAAGTCACAGCTCTGTATTGAAATATGAAAATTCTTCTTCTTCTTCTTCTTCTTAACCGATTTCACATAAGAATTGAATTTATCTTAGGGAAGGCAACAGTATAACTTCAATGTTAACGATTTAGACCACCCCATTTGTTGATGTCCTTTGTTCAAATTAATACCAGGATTATTTTTTCCTCCAACAGGAAGGAAAAGACTAAGCGGAGTTGTTCACTTACGTATATCTGCCCTGAATCTGTGTTGTGGCCACTTGTCCAGGTACACTCCTTCCAGTTCATGTGTGAAGCAGTTCCATTGTCGCCTTTGTCCCCTCGCTATCCTTTCTGTCCAGCGGAACCCTGGATCCCAGTCTCTCCCTTTGCTCCTTTCTTTCCGTCAGCACCACGTGGTCCCTGGGTCCCAGTTTTCCCCGGGCTACCCAAGTCTCCTTTGGCTCCATTTCGACCAGGTGCCCCAGGGGCTCCTGGGACACATGTCATGTATGTCCACATCCCGGTTTGTCCGTTATTATTACAAGATGGACAAGATTGAACAGGCTGCCAAAAATAGTAAAAAACAAACCATTAGTAGCTCTTGACAGTTTTACCTGTCATCTAGCGTTTCAAACTAGGTGAGGAAGTGGTTACTGATTTTCGATAATTTACAAGTTTTAATTTGGGTTTCTTTGATGCAATCGTAAATTGTTATTAAAAAAATTCATTTTTGCAGCAAAGAATATAACTTACTAGTATCTACCTCGTTAGTAATAATGTAAGTTTGATAGTTAAAACGAGAAAATGTTCTTTTCTCAAAATATTGATCGATTTTTGCAGAGACTACGCAAGTAATGGTACCATCTTGATTTTTGGTTGAATTTCGTTTCAACCCGAGACTCATTTAGTAAAATTAAGATTCCATTCGTTCTTTCCAGTTTTCCTCATAAAGTAACATCAACTAACATTATTCAACTGTAATAAAATTTGTGTAGTGGCCATGAGTATAAATGCAGTTACCTTGGTGTCTGGTCGTTTGTTGTCCTTAGCAGAGCAGAAAGCGGTCATCAGAGATAAAATCAGTACAATCAACATGGTGGTCACTTTAACTCGTGATCGCATCATCAAGGTTCTCTAACTTGTACACTAGAATTGAAGTTTGATCATGATATGTAATATTTTGATTAGTTCAAACGAACCAAAAAAAAAATAAAGTAAAGATTAACACTATACTTCATTTTTAAAATATGCCTCGGGAACTGTTACTGCGTCTTTTGAAGTAAACTTACCTTCGCTTGAAGATAGCCGAGGCCAAATGATAGCAGTGATTATCGTGACAGGATCATTTATCTCTCTCGCAATAATTACTTAACCATTCAAGCTGTCAAAACAAGTTTGAACGAAAGAATTCCCTAATCAGTACATTTCACGTGTAAAAAAACGTCGAGCATTTTGATTGGCTTAACATGAGAAAATTCGGTTTTGTGTTTTTCAGTAACTGAGTTCCTGTGCAGATCATGCTTTTGATCTACATGTCGAGAGTTTACCAGCCATAATAATTTTTTGTATTTATTATAATTATATTACGATAGTAGAATCTATTACTTAGTATAGCTTTGTTTTGTCCGTTAACCGCCGGGAATATGAGTCGGTCATGTAGCTTTACGAGGATGGCCGTTACGTCAGTTTATTGCTTTTTTATGCAGTGGGAAACAAATTAAACTGTAGACAGTTTGCAAGACTGAGTCTTAGCATAATCGCAACGCTGTTGTCGATTGAATTAGGATTTTCTAAACTATACTACTGAAAACCCAAGCGAAGTGCAATTTTCTTTCGACGTTCATTTCTTTATCCAGAATAAAGAACAGATTTTACCTACACCCAAATTCGAAACTTTCTTTTTGCGGAGGTCAACACAAAAGTATATCCAAATAAGAAATGTTTTTTTTTCATTAGAACTAAATATACTTTCAGAATTGTTTGATAAAGAAGCTAAACATGAATCAAGTTTTAAACTAATCATTGGACACTAAAATCCTTTCTTTTTTACCGTAAATGATTGCTAGGGCTTCTTTAATTTAACATTATACCTTAAATCGTTCTGTGTATTGAAGAGTTATTCCTACCCTGAATCGTATTGGAATATGTTTTGGAGACAGTACTTATTACTCTATGGGCGTAAGGAGATGAGCACGTGTGGCGTATATATGATTTACCTTGTTTTCTATGTTTCATTCCTTAATTATAACCTGTCTTCATGAAAGAAACGAGAAGAAACTGTAAAATATACTAAAACAGTGAATCAAAAAGCATAATTTCAGTAACGCGAGATTAAAAGAAAAGAGCTTCGTACATACCAACACTCAACTATTAGTGACTGAATCACAGAATTTCCCTGTTTGATTAAGTTTCTCGCGATCCTCGAAAAATGCTCATGAAATAGGCAAGCCGGCTACTTTTTTGATTCCGGTTAAACAATTTCATTCGCTTACGGAAATATTAGGTTGCTCGATGTAATCGATGCACCCAATGCAAGTTCTCTTTGATATCATTTTCCATACTTCTTTTTCTAGAGTTCTGCTACATCATTCGTAACCAATACAGCTTTTACTGAAATTAAACTGATGTCATTCGCGTATTTTGTCAAAGTCCTATTATTTTAATAAAACCTCAGGTATATCTGAAAATTAAAAAACAAAGCTGCAAATCTGTTATATATGATATCACAGCTTAGATACACCAAGCTCAAATTCCTAGATGACCGAAAATCCAACAGGAATTCAACATGGCCACGCATTTTCCTATATACCCCTCCATGGTTACCCTACCAGCAGAGTCTCCTTCGATCTTCCCAGAAATGTTTCTTGGAAGATCGAAGGAGACTCTGCTCGTAGGGTAACCATGGTGTTTTTAACTTTTCAATGAGACTAGTAATTGCGAAAATCCGTCGACACGGCTGGAAAAAAACGCCTTAAAATAAGAAAAGTTGCTAAGTTTGAAAGCGAATTTGCTGATAACTTATAATGAGAATTTTACAGACGTTTGTATGGTGGAGGCAAGTTCGTGCCCACCCCTTGACAAACATCTGTAAAATTTGAGGACTTCACTCGCTTTGAAATTATCACCATAAACTTGGTAAGTTAACAGAGTTGAATACGTTCCTCTAGCACTCAGGTCTTTATGGAAACTTGAAGAAAACCCTGGCAAGGTCTATTCGGCTTACATATTCTCAGTTCTAGTCAACGGAAAGCAGTAAAACGTTTTTAAAAACTTAACTCCTCCGGGAATTAAGAAAATACATTCCGGTTTTCAAAGTCTGTATAAAGAGTTTTATGTAAAGGAGCTATTATCTCTTAAAAGTATTGAAGTTGTACTTATTGTGTCAAAGCGATACTCTTTCTGGTTTTGCCGTAGCTCGATAAACTACATAACAATGCATAACCGTACTTTCAAATCGCTGTGTTCCCTCTGAGTAGGCGTCACTTGCTCTTGCTTACTATTACATCATTACTAGTGGGGCTTGTGTCGTTGTCTGTGTGGAACCCAAATTATTTTTATATTTTCAGTTCGTGTTAAAAAACAACAAGAACAAGTGTTGAAGATAGTGATTAGTTCACTATTTCGAATTCACCCTTCACAACTACCATCCAATTAACAAAACTGGGTTAGTTTTGATCCTATCAAGAAAAATTATCATTTTATGACTCACGTTCGAGGATTCGCCCTGACTCTATACACGATACTACGGCGGTGGTTTCGTTCTTGCCCTGACTAGTTCTTGATGTTTCAACGGTGCTGCGCTCCATGTAGCCTCTCATCTTGACCACATCTAGTAAACAAAAATTATAACAAATTTTGTGGCAAGGATTATTCACTAGCTAGCTAGAGTAGTTTGCATGCTACTAATACATTTATGATGAGATAATTCCTAAAGAATGGAATCTTTAGATCAGATTAGAATTTGGGATTCCTTTTCGCCTATACCCTCCTGTTCTTTTGTCAAAAACATGAAAAATCTCAATTTCATGTAACTGTTCTGAGACTCTAATTCGAGCTTCGCTTAAAATAACCACACTGTCGTTGGAGGAATTATTCTTTGGAAGGTTTGTACCCTGGATCGGGATTCGGTTGCATTCCTTACGTTAATGGTCCACAGCAAGAATATAAAAAGCTTGTAGGCTTGGATTTGGGACATGTTTTCCTTCAGTGCGCTCTGTCAGTAAATACTAAGCTTCATAAAAGTATCTCACCTAATTTGTTTAAAAAGGCGATTTCGGTTTTGTTTATTTATTATTATTTTTTATAGCTGGTGAATTTTTAGAGCTCCAGCACAGCAACCTATCTCTTTACTTTCTTCGAAAATTATGGTTTGACTTGAGGACCGATAAGGAGCTGTTCACCCAAGGCTTACGCTTTACAGTTCGAAATTTTGAAAAATTTTCTACGAAATTGCTTTCGTGTGCAAAGCCGCCAATAGGCTAGCCGCTGGGTATTTTGAAATTTGCCATGAAGACGCGAGTGATTTTATATTCTCGCATGGTAAGAACGCAAACCAGAATAATTTTGGAAATTGCTTCGGAATTCCAAGAAATATCAAATACTCACAGCCGATTTACAGAAAACAATTAGATGGAGGTATTGTAGGAACTCCTTGCTTTTATAATAACGATAGTATAACATTAAAAAGCGATATTTATAAGCGACAAAACCAGAACGTTCACTTTTGGAAAGTAGATAAAATGAAAATTTAGCCCTGAATCTTGTTGAATAAAATTAGTGCAGTAAAGGACAGTGTTTGCCCAAAAAAGGCTCTTACCCGTAAAATTGATGTCAGAATTCTCATCACTGACAATATTGGTCGCATTACTCCATAGAAAATAACTAGTATTCAGTTTTCCGAAAATTTTGAGTTTCCTTGTTCTTGTTTTATCGAGTTTACATGATTTATGATCGATATCTTAAAATGGCTATTGTTCATTATTGACCCTTTTTTGTAAACAACGTTTATCTTCTTGACAAATGGAAATGTCACTTTCCTTTCTGTCTTTCTTGGGTTAAACCAAACTTAATCAAAGAGGAAAGTTTTTATTCGTAAATTGAAAATGGTAACATAAATCCTATATCCTTAGTATTGCTATGAATCATTTTTTTGTCAATGACCAGGCCAATGCAGTAACCAGCGCAGGAGCTTTTATGAAGGATAATTCTAAAACTAGCTTCAGCTTTAAAAATCCCTGTTAACCAAATTGATGTATTGAGGTCTAATTCTCATGAATAATTAGTCATGATCAATAGCTAGATATTAA